AAAAACAACAACAGCAATACGAAAATTGACCAAGGACACAAAAAAACTGTTTGGGGAAACGAAAACTGATCATGGGCAGGAAAAAGATCAGGGAAACGAATGCTTACCAAGGATACAAAAAAATGATCAAGTACACAAACAAATAATAAGGGAAGCGAAAACTCGTCTAGGACACGAAAAAAATACTGACGAAAACTGACCGAGAATGTGAAGAAAAGTATCAGGAAAGCAAAAACTAAGCAAGGACAGGAAAAAAGAGGTCAGGGAAACGAAAACTGATCAAGGACATGAAAAGGATCTCGGAAACGAATACTCATCAAGGACATGGAAGAATGACCATTCAAACGAATTACGTACTGATCAAGGAAATACATGATGATACAAGAAAATATATACTGAACAAGGAAACTAATTTGTGATCAAGAAATGAAAAAGTGATCGATACGAAAAAAGTGATTAGGAAAACGATAAACCCTGCTTCCCAAAATAATACCCATAATTTTATGGGTCAATTTGAATCAGAGATATGGAAAAAGGGATTCATACGAAAAGAAGTGATCAGGTTGCTTCCCGAAATAATAGATAATAATACCTCTAAAATAATACTTCCCATAATTTTATGGATAAAAAGGGGTCTAACCGGGTCATTCCTTAAATATATAAGTGTTAGGAAGGAAAAACAGGAAAAAAAAAGCAAGAAACAAATGTATGGAAATTAAATAGGATGCGGGGGATTTATGCCCCTTCCCTTTTCTTCCAGCTGCCTCCCGGCCCCTGAAGGGGGGGGTGAATACAGAGCAAGAGGAATGTGAGGGTAGAGTAAATATAAAAGAGCAGAATATTCTTCACGAAAGTGTGTTAGATTTATACGAATTTCGGGGAAAGGGGGTTGGTGTAGAATTGTTTGTTCCAAAATAAATAGAGGCGTGTTTTATTGACTGCGGTGAGAATAGAATAATACAAAGAGAGAGAAATATCGTCGGTTGGAAAGTGAAGAAACCTGAGCAGAATTTTAAAAGCTTGTATCCCAGATTATGTATTTGGGACGGTGCATCTAAGATAATGGGCTTTTTTTTGGAGGGGGAGGATTTTCGGACTTATTTTTAGAAAAGAATTTCAGTCAGTGCACTAAATATCAGTTGAATTTTGAGTATGTGAAGAGTTTTTGTGTATTTCGTTTTTTACAATATGAAAAACTAGACAATTCCAAATGATTTTATTTTCTTGAAAAATCTTATATTCAATTTAAAATAAATTAGTCTTTGCATTCACAACACGATCTTTTATTGAATAATTTTACATCAGTTAATTATATAATTATTAGTTCAGGAAAGAAATTTAAAATATTGCATATAAAAAAGATCGTGAAATAAATTTAAATATACCAATTGGTATATAATTTGTGAAATAAATCTAAAGAATAGCCAATAAGAAACGTTAAAAATATTCAACAAACGACAAACTGATCAAGGAATCAAAAACCTCGTGAAGGATATTAAAAAACGAAAACTGGTGAAGAACACGAAAAAAGTGATAGCACAAACGAAACTGTACAGGACACTACAAAATTAAAGTAAAAAATAAAACTGATTAAACTGGACTAGGACATGAAAAATGGGACCAAGGAACAAAAACCGGTGAAGTACATGGACTTGGAATCAAGAACTGATCAAGCACATGATGAAAGTAGTGAAGGAAACGAAAAATTGGTCAAGGACAAGAAAAAGTGATCAGAGAAATGAAAACTGATGAAGGACACTAGAAACTGATCAAGCATAAGAAAAAAGTGATCAGGGAGACGATAAATCCAGCTTCCCAAAATAATACACATATTTGAATGGGTAAACAGAGGTCAATGCATACATATAAGTATTTAAGCATATAAGTGCTAGGAAAGAAAAACGAAACAAAAAGCAAGAAACAAATATATGGAAATAAAATAGGATGCGGGAGATTTACGCTCCTCCCCTTTTCTTCCAGCCGCTTCCCGGCCCTGAAGGGGGATGAATACAGAGCAAGAGAAATGCGGAGAAGAGTAAATAAAAAAAGAATGAAATATTCCTCACAGAAGTGTGTTAGATTTATACGAATTTCGGTGAAAAGGGAGGGGGATGAAGCTGTTTGTTCCAAAATAAATAGAGGTGTGTTTTATTGACTGCGGTGAGAATGGAATAATACAAAAAGAGAGACAGAAATATCGTGGTTTAGATAGTGAGGAGAACTGAGCAGAATTTTAAAAGCTTGTATCCCAGATTATGTATTTGGGAGTTTTGGGACGGTACATCTCTAAGATATTGGGCTTTTTTAGAGGGGTAGGGGATTTCGGACTTATTTTTAGAAACGATTTTTAGTCAGTGCACTAAACATGAATGGAATTTTGAGTATGTGAAGAGTTTTTATGTATTTCCTTTTTTACAATATAAAAAACTAGACAATTCCAAATGATTTTTATTTTCTTGAAAAATCTTATTTTAAATTTAAAATAAAATAGTCTATGCATTCACAACACGATCTTTTATTGAATAATTTTACATCAGTTAAATATATAATTATTAATTCCTGAAAGAAATTTAAAATATTGCATATAAAAACGTGGAAGAAATTTAAATATCCCAATAGGTATAATTCGTGAAATAAATCTAAAGAATAGCCAATAAGAAACTTTGAAAATGTTCAACAAACGACAAACTGATCAAGGACATGTAAAAAAATGATCAAGGAAACAAAAACCTGTGAATGACATTAAAAAAAAAGAACAGGCAAACGAAAACTGGTCGTGGATATGAAAAAGTGAACTGGCAAATGAAACTGTTCAAAGACACTAAAAAATTGAAGTTAAATTAAAACTGCTTAAACTGGTGTAGAACACGAAAAACGGGACCAAAGAAACAAAAATACGGATAGGAACGAACATGGATAGGAAACGAAAACTAATGAAAGAACAAGAAGAAAGTAATCAGGAAAACAAAAACAGGTGATGGACATTAAAAAAGGAAATAAGCAAACGGAAACTGGTCAAATAAACGATAAAGTGACCTGTCAAATGAAATTGTTCAAGGGCATAAGAAAAATTAAGGTTAAATTAAAACTGGTCTAGGACATGATAAAAAGGGATCAAAGAACAAAAAACGGATGAAGGACATTTACAGGGAAACGAGTAACTGATCAAGGACAAGAAAATGTGATCGACACGAAAAAAATGATAATTTAATAATTTAATGGGGTTTTTCTGGGGTCATTTTTTTAAACATATAAGTGTTAAGAAGGAAAAAACAGAAGAAAAAAGCAAGAAACAAATATATGGAAATAAACGAGGATGAGGTGGATTTATGCCCCTCCCCTTTTCTTCCAGCTGCCCCCGGCCCCCGAAGGAGGTTGAATACAGAGCAAGAGAAATGCGGAGGAAGAGTAAATAAAGAAGAGTAAAATATTCTTCACAGAAGTGTGTTAGATTTATACGAATTTCGGGGAAAAGGGGTGGGTGTAGAGCTGTTTGTTCCAAAATAAATAGAGGCGTGTTTTATTGACTGCGGTGAGAATAGAATAATACAAAAAAGAGAGGGAGAAATATCGTCGGTTGGAAATTGAGGAGGATTGAGCAGAATTTTAAAAGCGTGTATCCCAGATTATGTATTTCGGAGTTTTGGGGCGGTGCATCTAAGATATTGGGTTTTTAGGGAGGGGGGGGGGGAAGATTTTGGACTTATTCTTAGAAAAGATTTTCAGTCAGTGCACTAAACATGAATGGAATTTTGAGTATGTGAAGAGTTTTTATGTATTTCCTATTGTCATTTGTTTAAACGTCACTTGAGTCTGAGTAGCAACTTTATTGGCTAGATCGCGATTTCTTAAGATCTGATTCTTGTGGATGGCACGCTCTAAAATATTGGGCTGCTGCATATTTATCAGGCGTTTCCTTGACGTGCTATAGTTTAATAAAAATTTACAATATTTTATACATTTAGGAATGAAAATATCCTTCCACTTTTAGATTATAAAAATGCTTGTCGATAATCATACTCATACTCATTTTTGGGTTGTGTTCTATCCGTAACAAATCCCGTTTAAGCTGATTTCCCAATATATGATTCAGCTTCTGTCCCATCAAACACACCACATTGCCTTCTTACAGTGCATGTCCTTCGTTATTCCTTTTGGTGAAACTCCTGGCGAAACGCAGACCTTCTATCTTTTCAGGTTTTTGAAGAGAAGCCACGATTCAACCCCAGTGACAAGATCGTTGAAGCAAATCGGTGAAAATTCGGACACATTTTGCTGTATTGTAGTCGCTGAGTTCCTGGGGGATCCACCCAGCCTATTTCCATACTTTTTTCAAACTTTATCAGATGCCGAAAGATGGTAGAATGGTCATATTGGTGTTGTCGGCCAGCATTCTAGTTGTCAAGCTTTCGTCCCCTTCCACGGTTGCCAAAAGTGCCTGGTCGTCGAAATCCGATGGTCGATCTCTTCCTGCCTTACCTTCCAAGCTAGTGTCTCCAGATTTGAAACATTCCCTGCAGATTGTGCCCTCACCGAAAAGTTCGTTGTGATCGCGAAATGACTGCATAGCAAGTCAAAGAAACGTCTGATAATTATACACCAACACAATAGTAGTTCAAACAAGTCGGGAAGTATGAGTTACGAAAAAGAAAAAGTGTATAAAGGAGTAGTAAAAACAGATCAAAGGACGGGTAATAAAAAACAGTGTAAGAAAGTGTTTGTTGTTTCTTATCCCACTTGGCTGGCCAAGCCCACGAGCCAATGCGTAATCATGATTGAAGGGGAAGGAAGCAGCTTCTGTTGTGATGGAGCACCCGTAGGTAGAAGTCTGACTTTGGCTCCGTGACGCTCTTACAAGTCGTAGGAGACCAGGACCTACGGCTTAAAGTGGATTTCGAACCACTACAAACATCCATGGCACCGCCGGGATTCGAACCCGAAACCTGTGGCACCGAGCACCAGAGCGCTAGACACTCGGCCATTCAGGTCCCAAATTTGCCAACGGCACGCGGTGTTCCCAGGTGGTCACCCACCCAAGTACTGACCGCGCCCAATGATGCTTGACTTCGGTGATCTAACGAGAACCGGTATATTCAGCATGGTATACTAGTTATAGTTATGAAGAGGATTAGTAAGAGCATTGCGAAGAAGGTATAAAAGTAATACAAAGAAGTAGTAAAAGGAATGCAGGGGACTCGGGTAGATTGAAGATAGACTACGGACGCGAAGCACAGTGCCCTCACGACGCTATATGACACAAGGACTTACTGTTTAAAGTGGACTCTTATCAAACTAAATATCCAAAGGGGATTCTGATCAAACATCTAAGGCACCTCCAGGACTTGAACCTGAAATCTGTGATACCGAATGCAAGAGCCCTAGCTACTCGGCCATCAGGTCCCCTCGATATCTGAAATAAAATCCGTATTTTTTTTATCTCTTGTTCAACGAGAAGGAAAGAAATAAAGCAAGAAACGTATCTTTAAAAATACAATGGGTGGTGGGGGCGTATTTATGCCCCTTCCATTCCTTCCACTTGTCACCGATCGAAGCACAAATAAATAAAGGCGAAGAGAGAAATGTGTGTGCGGGAGGGATGGTAAATAAAAAGGAATAAAGGAAATTTCCACAGTGCTGTGTTAGATTTATACGAATGGGTTTGGGTGCGTGAGTTACAAAATAAATAGCGGTTGTTTTATTTACCGTGGAGGGCGGAGAATAGCATGGAAGGGAGACAGAGAAATATCGACAAGAGTGAAACGAAGAAAAACCCAGATAAATTTTTAAAATATTGTGCACAAGATTATGGTTATTTGGAGTTTTAGGGAGATCTAAAAAAATAATTTTGCGTTTAAAAAGATAGGTTTATGGATATCGATTATGATTTCGAATTAAATTTATTTAAAAGAAAATGTTATTTTTTGAAATAACTTTAATGTATTAATTAATGTATTATTAAATTTAATATAATAACCGGCCCATTAGCTCAGGTGGGCCTGAATGGCCGAGTGGCTTGCTCTCTGGCGCTGGGTACCACAAGTTTCGGGTTCGAGTCACGGCGGATGTTTGTAGTGGTCCGAAATCCACTTTAAACCGTAGGTCCCGGTCCTAATAAGAGAGTTGCGCGGGCATTGTTACTCCGCGTCCGTATCTTCAACTTACACGCGCCCCCTGTGTAATGCAAAGTGAGTAACGTCTGTGCAGCGCTTGCCTTAAGGCATCCAAGACCCAGCTGTCTAAGTGTTTGCCAGCTGCATTGGAACAAAAAAAAAAATTTTTAATATAATTAATTTTTTTGTATTATGAAAATTTTTACATAAAGTTTTTCAACACTAAAATGTACATGTATGGATCCGAGTGGGGTTTAGTATGGGGCCGAGTAAGAATAGTATTATGCATCCTATAAAATGCAGAGCCCGTTGGTATAACCGGGTGGGTCAACTTTCACACTATCTCCATGAAGAATGGTACAATATTCCTCTGAACACTATTCAGCACTTGTATGAATCCATTCCTAGGCGAATCCAAGCTGTATTACATGCCAGAGGCGGTCCCACACCATACTAATAAAGGATTCTTTTTAAATCTATGGTGTTTCCATTATTTTGATAACCCCTTGTATATTACTGTCACTACGACTATCTTGGTTCTTTCTATGGGTGGTTCAGGTTTCTGATTAGCCCATGCACACATTCATGGCACCTTCATTTACTTACAAGCAATATATAATTATTTAGCCAACGGCCGTACCATGCTGAATATACCGGTTCTCGTTAGATCACTGAAGTCAAGCATCATTGGGCGCGCTCAGTACTTGGGTGAGTGACCACCACCTGGGAACACCGCGTGCCGTTGGCAAATTTGGGACCTGAATGGCCGAGTGTCTAGCGCTCTGGCGCTCGGTGCCACAGGCTTCGGGTTCGAATCCCGGCGGTGCCATGGATGTTTGTAGTGGCTCGGAATCCACTTTAAGCCGTAGGTCTCGGTCTGCCATGACTGTAAGAGCATCACGGAGCCAAAGTCAGGCTTCTACCTACGGGTGCTCCATCACAACAGAAGCTGCTTCCTTCCCCTTCAATCATGAGTACGCATGGGCACGTGGGCTTGGCCAGCGAAGTGGGATAAGAAACAACAACAACAACACAAGCAATATTTACAATCTATCTACAGAGTTGATGTTAACTGGTCCAAGGCACAAGCTCAACTGGAAGAAGAACGTTCTCTTTTTGAATAAGACACGTTTTCACAGCAATCAACAGCTTGTTTCCACGTCAACAGCACAATTCTGAATCAATTTCCATAAAACTGGGCCCTGAATGGCCGAGTGACTAGCGCTCTGGCCCTCGGTACCACAGGTTTCGGGTTCGAGTCCCGGCGGTGCCATGGGTGTTTGTAGTGGTTCGGAATCCAATTTAAGCCGTAGGTCCCGGTCTCATATGATTGTTGAGCGTTGGGCGTAGGGCTAATTTGGCCAGTAAGCAGATGGCTATGGTTCACCATGGGGCAGTTGTGCCGATAATGACGATTAGTTAAAACTGCCAATCATACAATAAGGTTCATAGGCCTGAATGGCCGAGTGGCTAGCACTCTGGCACTCGATACCACAGGTTTTGGGTTCGAGTCCCGGCGGTAGCATGGAAGTTAGTAGTGATTCTGAATCCACTTTAAGTGTAGGCCGTGTAGGCCCCGGTCCTAATAGGATCATAGAGAGTTGCGGGGGCATTGTTACTCCATGTCTGTGGCTTATCTTCAAGTTACACGCGCCTTCTGAGTAATGCAAAGTGAGTAACATCTGTGCAGCGCTTGCCTTTAAGGCATCCAAGACCAAGCTGTCTAAGTGTTTGCCAGCTTCATTAGAAAAAAAAGGATCCATCACAACAATAGCTGTCCCCTTTCCCTTCAATCCTAAGGGTTCGGCTTGGTCTCGATGACTGCCAAATGGCATGTGAAACATGGATGTTAGTAGTGATTATTTTATAGATATCCACATTTATATACAATGTAAAAACAACATTATGATGCCGATGGCCGTTCGGAATCCCCTTAAACCGAGGTCTCATAACTGTAGATCGTTGGGGTATCAGCCCTATAACTCAGCAGAGTTCCCGGTCCTAATAGGATCGGGAGCGTTGCATTGTTACTCCGCGTCCGTGGCTTATCTTCAAGTTACACGCGTCCCCTGGGTAATGCAAAGTGAGTACGTCTGTGCAGCGCTTGTCTTAAGGCATCCAACACCAAGGTGTCTGTGTTTGCCAGCTGCATTAGAAAGAAGAAAATTTCCATAAAACTACCATGTGACGCTGCTTGGCGCGAACTAGAGCATAAAAATTCCAACAATTACCCTACCATTTGAGAGTCCACGGAGAAACAGAAAAAAAACGTACATAAGATCAACAACCTTCTCCCTTTAGTGAAGTCGAAGAATAAATACTTTTATTCACTTGAATAGCAGATCCATTTACTTCTCAATGGCATCCATCATTATCAGAAAGTGTGTTTTTTTTATTCCTTGTAGAGGGTAGGCCTCGGCAGTATAAATCAAATGGATGCACTTTTGGTTGATCAGCAAATTGAAATGCTTCTTTTGAGCCATTCGCGAAAGACAGTTTGTTACAGATGGATTTTTCCTGCTTTATTGATGAGTGACTTAACATTAATAAGATGTTCGCTTTAGTATATATTAAAGTGGAATAGCATTTTATCGTTGATGTGACACATGGACAAATTATAGAAAGTATTGTTCTTTTAACGATTTTTGTTACGAAATATATATATTCATTGCGAAAAAAAAATTATTTTATAAACCCCTGATTTATACACGTGATGCTATATTGATGTATTTATTTGAATCAGTAACACTTTAATGCATCAAAGCGTTTTCGTTGTAATAATTAGAAATAGAAAATAACATTAAATTACTGTCAGATGTAAATGCGATATATTTTATTATAAAATGAAAGAAATTCCCACTAGCCAATACAAGACTAAATTTGGCCTTTACAAGACATTTTGTCAATCACCACTGTGCCTATATGGTTTAAAAACAACGACCACAACTTACGACATTGGAAATTTATTTATTGTTCACTAACAACATACAGCGTTGTTTACTATCATTAATTTTTAAATCTATTATCTATTTTTTTGTTCTAATGCATTGCCAAACACTTAGACAGCTTGGTCTTGGATGCCTTAAGGCACGACTAAACAGGGTGGGTATATTAGCACAAGGCATGGCAATATACCCATCCTGAATTATTTACTTGAATAGCGGATCCATTTACTTATCGACACCCTCCATCCTTATCAGAGAGCAGTGTTTTTGTTTATTCCTATTAAACTAGGCCTACGGTTTAGAATCAAATGGATACACTTTTGGTTTGTAGTAGGTGTATTGTAGTGAGTTCAATACGGAATCGACATCCTCCACCGGCATCTCTCCACTCGATCATTCAGGTCCATTCCATGAAGAATGGTACAATATTAAAACAGTGGGGGTATCAGCACTGTATGCCATTCCTAAAAAATCAAGGTTGGTCTATTACATGCCAGAGGCGGTCCCAACCATACTTGGGAGAAGGTGACCATAATGATACACATGTTCCATTATTTTGAAATGAATAATTTAAGGAATTGTATGTTTTTAAAGGTGGCATTGAACTTTTAACAAATATCTCTAAAAAAGGGTGACCATGCAGGTAATGTAGATAATTGTTTTTTTTTACAAGCTATATTTTCAATTAACATAGATATTGTACCATACTCATCATAAGCTAACATAGAAGTTTTAGAATGCTCTTTTTTAGAATATAGACTTGTCTGTTAAATATTAACTTACAGCTTGTATCTGCAACATAAAAAGCGCAATTCACATTCGAAGTCTTAGAATAAAAAAATACTAAATGGCCGATCTTCAAATAAAAAAGAATCTCTGGCGCTCGGTACCACAGGTATCAGGTTCGAATCCCGGTGGTGCCATGGATGTTTGTAGGGTTTCGGAATCCACTTTAAAAAGTAGGTCCCGGTCTAATAGATCATAGAACGTTGGGGCATTGTTGTTCCGCGTCCGTGGACCTACGTATCTTCAAGTGACACGCGCCCCCTG